ATGAGGAAAAAGCAAGTTGGGCTGGTTAATGGGTTGGGTTTAGAATACCTTATGTTTGGGTTATCTGTTAGAAATACTGTAGCAATACCCAGCATTCAGTTGGCTACATGGGTGTGAAGCTCAGCAGAGTGGTCCATCCATGCTTGTCATGTAGTGGAAAATTATCCCCACTAACAAGGAGATTAGATATAATATTACTATATGGTAAGTTAGAAATTATTTAAGTGATTAGTCATTATTTATTACAGTTTGTGTCTATCTTTTCCAGCACTCAGTTAAAACATTTAGTGGGTTTCCAATGTAATAGGTGGGGCTCCTTTCCTATGTTGGGTCTCTATTATAAATAAATAATTATTTTTATAAAAAGAATTCTGGATAATGCTTAATTACGTGCCATTTATTGAGCACCTACCATGTATGCAGGATATTGGGCTAATAGCTGCCAACAGAAAAATGAATAAGATAGTCCTTGATTTATTACATTCCAGTCGCATATATAAAATTTATTTTAAAAGTACAAATTTTGGAGCCGATATTTTGGTACAGTGGGTTAAGCCAGTACTTGCAATACTGGCATCCCATATGAGTGCTGGTTCAAGTCCTGGATGCTCCACTTCTGACCCAGCTCCCTGCTAACACACTTGGGACAGCACTGGAAGATGGTTCAAGTTTTTGGGCCTTTGCCACTCATATGGGAGACCTGGATAGAGTTCCTTGTTGTAGCCACTTGGAGAATCACCCAGTGCATTGAAGATCTCTTCCTCTCTGTGTCTCTCCCTCTCTCTGTAATTCTACATTTCAAATAAAATAAATCTTAAAAAGATAATTTCAAAAATTTCAACATAAAAATGTATCAAGAAGAAGCATCAATTATTTCTCTTTGTACAGTGTCAGGAATAAATGATATCTGAAATATATTTTTTAAAGGTAGAAAAGGCTATGTCTGGCTGATGGGATACAGAAGTAGGGAGAAGGGGCTGGCATTGTGGCACAGTGGATTAAGCATCCACTTGTGTTACCAGCCTTCTATGTCAGAGAACTGGTTCAAGCCCTGGCTCACCCACTCCGGATCTGGCTCCCTGCTGAAGTACCCAGGAAAGCAGTGGATAATGGCCCAAATACTTGCAGCCCCTGCCACCTATATGGTAGACCAGAAATGAGTTCCTGGCTCCTGGCTTCAGCATCGCTTACGACCTGGCTGTTGCAGCCATTTGGGGAGTAAACTGGTGGATGGAAGACCTGCCTCTATCTCTTTCTCTGACACTCTCCTTTTCTCTCTGTTGCTCTGCCTTTTAAATAAAATAACATTTTAAGAAAAAGAAGTAGGGAGAAAGGAGTCTTTGGGATGGAGAAAAGTACAGTGCCCAGGGTTACAAAGAACCACCCCAGTGCAACTGGGAATGTTAATCTGGCATAACCTGAAGGTAAAATAGAAGGAAGATGGCTGGCTGACATGTGGTTAAGGATGTAGATGAAAGCTATTCACTCAAACTGTGAAAACATAGTAGCTCACTTATCCTAAGATTTTCATACAAAAAAGTATTTTTGAATAATGCAGAGGAAAAAAATGTCAAATCGGGATGACAAGCAGAAGAATTAGACATCAAAGTAAGGAATATTGGAGGCCACATGGACAACTCAGATCTGATTTAAACTCAGCCTTGGTGTACATTACTTTTATTATGGGATCAGACATCTACTGCAAGCTTGTTTCAGGCATGCCTCTTACTAGATTGACCAGTGTGTGCATGAGTCTCTTTCTCAAAATAATCATTCTAGGTTCTGTCCCTCAATATCAATACTGCTGTGTTCTCTCACGCTGCTCTTTTCCACTGGGGCTTTTCCAACCTTGTCACTTGTGGCGCTGATGCTGCATTTATTTCTGTCTGCTCTTTCTTCACTTGACAGATTCCCAAAGGATGTTTTATGCTACTTAAGTAACTCACTGTCTAGGTCTCTGTCACAGAATTCAGTGACAGCTTTTTTTATGTATGATTTTCTGAAAGGGCTGATGTGATAAAATTTTTTACTGCTTATATAACTTCCAGCAATGGCTGACAGATCACCATACACATCAGGCCTTTAGGACTGCACTAGTGTTGCTCAGTGGTTCTCCATCTCTTGAATGTCTTTTTGCATAAATAATTCTAGAATATAAGGAATCATGAACATAAGTAAAAGCCTCTATATTAACAGTTGCAAGGACTTCAAAGCATGCTCACAGGCGTACTTCTGTGTTGAAGACTTGTAACTGGGGATTCATTCACTAACAGCAAAAATTCCTTGAATGTAAGAGAGCTACCAAGAATAATTATGTGCTTATAAATTATCATATTTCTCTGGAGTTAATGTGTATACTTGGTGATAAACTATTTTCTGATTCTCTTTAAAAATGAGATGGATTTTTATTTACTGGGATTATTGAGCTAGTCCTACCTAAAAGCCAAGGCATGCGGGATTTGGCCATATGATATTTATTAGATGCTGTAATGTAAAAAAATAGAATTTCATGCATGAATGTATATAAATATATGAGTAGTGGTAATTATCAATTCCCAACTTGACTCTCACTGGGATTAAACATGACAATAAGTCTGATCTGATTTCATCATCATTTAAAAAAAATCATCTATTATTTTTCACTTTATGTTTCTGTGTGGGAGCAAACTGTTGAAATACTTACTTAAGGTATACTAAGCTGATCTTCTGTATATTAAGATAATCGAAAATGAATCTTGATGTGAATGGAAGGGGAGAGGGAGTGGGAAAGGGGAGGGTTGTGGGTGGGAGGGACGGTATGGGGGGGAAGCCATTGTAACACATGAGTCGTACTTTGGAAATTTATATTCATTAAATAAAAGATTAAAAAAAAAATAAAAAAAAATAATTATTAAAGTATAGAAAAACTAATCCATAAAAGTAAATGATGATAGATCCAAAGTCACCTTAAACGGATCTAAGTCTAGTTCCTAATCTAACATCTTCATATGGTTCCTTCAGTATTATCTTTCAGAAAACCCTCCAAGTGGTAAGTCAAACTGATGTAGAAAGATGTTTTTGTTCCTTGTTTATATTCCTACTGTCTCCTACAAATGAAGTGCTACCCTTTATTCAGTTGTTACTGTTTCTTGGAAATATTCTAGTTATAGTCTTTATTTGGTCACTTCCCGAGTAATACAGAGGTCCTAATTAATACTTCTATTCCCTAAGAATTTATAATTGCAATTTATATCACATAATGTTTCACTATATTTATGGGATTCCCTGATTTTTTATGTATATTAAACTTATCTCTCCATGGACAATGTCAACTTCTCAATGCCTTTTACAGATTTTAAGAAAATCACTAACAATTCACACTGACACATTTCAATAAGCTTTCCATACTCTAGTGCCCTTAATTCATGAATTCATTCAGTAAATATTAATTGAACTCCTACAATCCATATCATATACAAATAATGTAAATGCATGGTATATCAGTTTCTAATAAACAAATAACAGGAAAGAGGAATAGAACGTGTTTCTGGCATATAAACAACAGTGTCTTAATTTTAAATAGGATGATCCTGGAAGGATTTATTTCGAGTAAATTTGAGCAAAAATCTGAAGGTGACAAGAGAACAAGTAATGTAGTCATATGAGGAGAGGTGTTCTGGCAGAATGAAATAAAAAGACTCCTGAGATATTGTCATCAAATTTCTTAAGGATGTTATATTTACAAGTGACCAAGAGATTTTTCAATTTTCTTTAACAAAACAGATCCTTATCTACCTCCAGTCAAGCCAATCTTACCTAACTTCAAGGGATCCTATCTAGTTCTGGTTATCATTTCCCAGGGAAACCTTCCCTAATCACATAATCTAGATAGCATCTTTCTCATATGTACTTTCTTCACTTTAAATGCATCATCACACACAATTGTTTATTTACGCAACTACAGCTGCTTGTTTAATGTCTAAATCATCCATTACAATGTAAGTTTCATGAGAGCAGGCCTGACCCCTTAGCACTAAGTGTATTGAGGGAAATAACCAAAGCAATGCTCTTTTGCCTACACACACAAACACACACACACAATTTAACCGGTTATCTTAATGATAGAGGGACCGTAGTTTATATCCTCAATAAATATAAACTAGATATAACACTTGGTGACTGATTTTGGCTTTGTACTAGTAAAATGTCCTGATGAAACCATTCAGAAGGAAATGATTAACGCATAAATGAACCTGCAGCAGATTTTCTGAAGAACTGTCACTTCAACAATCACTTAAAGTAAAATACCATCAACATAAATATTAACATCAGCTTCATTATCAACAAAATATCAGATATACAGGTTTGGCCAGAAATATGTAGATATAACTGAATGTCACTTATTTGTGAGTACCAGGCACTAGTCTCGATTTTTGGCATATATCAGTGACCAAAACCGAAAAATCACTGCCGTCATATTTGAATTCTGGGTCAAGAAAAGATACACATTAACCATAGTCATTCATTAGATTATATAATTTTGTAGACAGTTAAAGCTAGGAGAAAATAGAACCCAGGAAAAAGAACTGAGTCTCATTTCAAATAGGTTGTAAAGGCAGGCCTTGTTGAGCAGGTGGGATTTTGAAAACCTCAGAATTTGTAGAATAAGCACATGAATGGAAATAAGGACTGAGGGACTTAGTCACATTAACAGAGGAGGAGAGAGGCTTTTCTGTCTTTATGAAAGGACTTCAAGAAGCTCTTGGGAAACTGGAATTAAAAGATAAGCTTATTTGGGGGCAAAATTTTTTGACATAAACATGTACATTTTTCATAATACACATTTTCCATTAACTTTTTGAAGAGTCTCATATAATTTAGGATTTAACTGTTCACCAAAATCAATTTACAATTGAAACAAAATCAAAGAGAAAGTCATTTTATATCATTTGCTAAGAAAAAAATTAAAGCTTATTTCCAAAAAAAATTTAAAATATTTAGAGATATAATGAGTACCTTACCATTTTTACTGATGTCGAGTTCTTTAAGATTAACTAAGCTAGCAATAGTGGTTGGTAGATTTGAAAGGTCGTTATCAGGAATACTTAGTTTTCGTAGAGCTTGACAGTTAAACAATTGCTGTAATAGAAAATAATTGTTAATTAGATCACAATTTGGTTAAACCTATTCACAAATAAACTCAGTAACAAAATTCAAACCAATGTCTTTATAACTACGGTAATAAAACACCAGCTATAAAAGCTTCTCTTTCCTCCACATCTGTATTCTCAATTGTTTTCAGAATGATTTCACATCCTGCCCCCATGTTAATGTTTCACAACTGTCTGCTACTCAGATTCAAAATCCAAAGGATTCTACTTTTTTTTCCCACTACTTTTTAAAATATACATTTGGCCTTAGAAAAAACAATTTCATTTATTTTCATTGTATTAAAAGGCAGGGAAACAGAGATCTTCCATCTACTGGTTCACTCTCCAAATGCCCATAACCGCTAGTTCTGGACCAGGCTGAAGCTGGGAGCCAGGAACTCAATCTGTACTTCCCTCGTAAGTGGCAGGGACTGAAGCACATCAGCCATCACCTGCTGCTCCCAGAGCATACATTCTTAGGAAGCTGGATATGAAGTAGAGGAGTCAAGATTCAAACCAGGCACTCTGAAACTGGATGTGGGCATGCCGAGTGGTGTCCTAACTGCTGTGCCAAATGCTTGCCGCATCCCCATGCTGTTTACTATTGTTCCATTTGCCACTGAATTCTACAATTGCTTTCTCTTTGAAATGACTTTTCTTTGTCCCTTTCTCTTCCTACTTTGTCCCTTTCTTGACAAGCAGAGTGGACAGTGAGAGAGAGAGACAGAGAGAAAGGTCTTCCTCTTTGCCGTTGGTTCACCCTCCAATGGCCGCCGCGGCTGCTGCGCTGCGGCCGGCACACCGCGCTGATCCGAAGGCAGGAGCCAGGTGCTTTTCCTGGTCTCCCATGGGGTGCAGGGCCCAAGCACTTGGGCCATCCTCCACTGCACTCCCAGGCCACAGCAGAGAGCTGGCCTGGAAGAGGGGCAAGCGGGACAGAATCCAGTGCCCCGACGGGGACTAGAACCCGGTGTGCCGGCGCCGCAAGGCAGAGGATTAGCCTAGTGAGCCGCGGCGCCGGCCCTGTCCCTTTCTCTTCCTACTTTTTGTCTACTTTGTCTGTAACCCCATTTGATTTCATAAATTGTAACTTCCATCTTATCATATTGAAAAGGTCTTTACATTGTAAGAATTACCGTGCACTGAAATACAAGAGCTCACATTTCCTTTGTTTTCTTCCTGCACTGCTTGATGAGTTATCTAGTGAGTGAAACATTTAACTTCTGATACTTGGTGGAAGAAGTCCCTAGTGATTGGCTCATTTCTGTCTTCAGTCCAAAGTCATAGGTGGGGAAGAGTCAAGTACTAAAACAATGGTTCTCAAATATGGCTCATAATCATGGTCAGGTATAGGTACATGCTTAAAATATGGTTTCATGGGCTCTACCCAAGTACATCTGATAAGGTGGTAAAAAAATCTGCCTATTTAATAAGCACACCATTGACCTGGATCTTGATGTCGGTGTTTATAGTGTCACACTTTGAAAAACAATATATTTCACTTTTTAGCTCTGTCCAACTCATCTTGACTACAGTAAAGATATGAAAATCTGGAGTAGATTTTTTTATTCATTTCTGGAAGAATTATCTTAATGAGATCTTTTCTGTTTGACATTTCTAATTCTGTTTGGTTGAATTTCCACAGATGAATTCTCTGGTATCTAGGACTATGAAGTTGGCCCACAGTACTACATTTAACTAACATTTATTCTTACATGTAATTCATTTCATATAGAAAAAAAACAAGGTAGGGCCGGCGCTGTGGCTCACTAGGCTAATCCTCCGCCTTGCGGCACTGGCACACCGGGTTCTAGTCCCGGTCGGGGCGCCGGATTCTGTCCCGGTTGCCCCTCTTCCAGGCCAGCTCTCTGCTGTGGCCCAGGAGTGCAGTGGAGGATGGCCCAAGTCCTTGGGCCCTGCACCCAATGGGAGACCAGGAGAAGCACCTGGCTCCTGCCTTCGGATCAGCGCGGTGCGCCGGCCGCACAGCGCGCCGGTCGCTGTGGCCATTGGAGGGTGAACCAACGGCAAAAGGAAGACCTTTCTCTCTGTCTCTCTCTCTCACTGTCCACTCTGTCAAAGATAAAAAAAAGGAAAAAAAACAAGGTAGGCCAGGGCCGTGGCTCACTAGGCTAATCCTCCGCCTGCGGCGCCGGCACCCCAGGTTCTAGTCCCAGTTGGAGCACCGGATTCTGTCCCGGTTGCTCTTTTCCACTCCAGCTCTCTGCTGTGGCCCGGGAGTGCAGTGGAGGATGACCCAAGTGCTTGGGCCCTGCACCCACATGGGAGACCAAGAGGAAGCACCTGGCTCCTGGCTTCGGATTGGCGCAGCGCACCGGCCATAGTGGCCATTTTGGGGGTGAACCAACGTAAAGAAAGACCTTTCTCTCTGTCTCTCTCTCTAACTTTGCCTGTTAAAAAAAAAGAAAAAGAAAAAAACAATGTAGTCCATGGTTATTATTTCTTAACTCATTAGCTTTTTAAAAAAATAGATTGTGATGCCTGCTATTTTGTGCTGTTTGCTCCTTAAGAATGCAATATGAAGTTTCTTACTTTGGGCTAATCATTTAGGTTCTTCACAAAGATAATTTGCAATGCTTCATTTCATGCTAGAATTAATTTTCATCTTATACAGAAAGGTTCCTATTTCTTTTTATAAACCTCAAAAAAGAGACCTTTGATGGATACTTTAATGAATAGTTTCTACTGTAACTGCTAATTTTCTCTCTAAGGAATAAGACAGCAGTTGTCTACACTTACGGTAAAAGTTAATTTAGATTTATTTCCAGCCTCTATCATTTAGTTGGGACTACCACATTTACATGTATATGCAATATGGACTAAAAATATCTCATGGCTGACTTAGGTATGATTTACCAACTTCTCTTATTACTATAACCATTTTAAATAATGTTCATGCTAATGATTTTCAAAATATGTATCGCTTTTACTCTTTAAATTTGTCTTATCATCTCAAGAAAATTCTCAAAAACTCTTAAGAATCAGTGGAGTATCCAGTATTCTTCAATTTTAAATGAGACAATATCAGGAACAAAAAAATATAGAAGCTCATAAATGCCTTGAAACAGAATCCAAGAATTCTCTGAAATAGAGCTACCCACCTGGCATTTGCAATCAGACTGAGGTGTGTTTAATATCCTTTCACCTATTAATTTACTCGTTGTGCAATTTTGGGCAAGTTGCTTAATATCTCTGAACATGCCAGTATACTTGCAAATAAAATTGGAACCATAAGTTACATTACTTGGAGAGTTGCTGAGAGGCTTAAAAGTTAATTTCTTAAATCCTAAGTCCCATTTTTTTCACATATTAACAACTTTGATATTTAGAATGCATGTTACAATCAAGAGCAAGTTATTTTTAAGAAATATCTTTCTTTTTAAAAGATATTTATTTATTTATTTATTTGAGTCAAGAGTTACAGAGAGGCAGAGGCAGAGACAGCAAGAGAGAGAGGTTTTCCATCTGCTGGTTCACAGCCCAAATAGCTACAAAGGCTGGAGTTGGGCCAACCTGAAGCCAGGAGCCTAGAGCTTCTTCTGGGTCTCCCATAAGGGTGCAGAGGGCCAAAGACCTGGGCCATCTTCCACTGCTTTCTCAGGCTATAGCAGAGAGCTGGATCAGAAATGGAGCAATCAGGACTTGAACTGGCAACCATATAGGGATGCTGGCACTGTAGGAGGCAGGTTTACCTGTGATGCCACAGCACCAGCCTCAGAAATATCTTTCTATTTCTTACTGCTATTATAATAAAGACCTGCCTTTTTTGAAGATTTATTTTATTTATTTGAAAGAGTTACAGAGAGAGGTAGAGACAGAGAGAAAGGTCTTGCATCCGCTGGTCCACTCCCCAGATGGCCACAATGGCCAGAGCTGAGCCGATCCAAAGCCAGGAGCCAGAAGCTTCTTCCAGGTCTCCCACATGGGCGCAGGGGTCCAAGGACTGGGGCCATCTTCCACTACTTTCCCAGGCCATAGCAGAGAGCTGGATCAGAAGTGGAGCAGCCGGGACTAGAACCGGCATCCAGGGTTTTAACCCACTGCGCCACAGCACCGGCCCCAATGATTTGTCTTATAATCATGTCTTTGGCTTTGATGAAATGGGGTGCTTATGAAAATATAAAACTGTGAACTGCACTTGGCACATAGTAAAGCTTGGTAACTGTTAGCCACTGTTAATATTTATAAACACAGCTATAAAGGCATTCCTTTAAACTCCCTATTTCTTACTTTTCCATATGAGGAGGCTTTTGAAAGCAGCTGTCTCGTATGATTCATCTTGGTATCAACCATTTTCTCCTTTCCATATACCAAAGTGGCTGGCAAAGTAACATAGATAATTAAAGAGAAAATGAAGAGAGTGCTAATTTCCAGCCAAGAATGGTAGCTACTGGCAAGGTAAACATTCTCACTGGAGTCTGAATTTCATAAACAAAGCAGAAAACTTCTTAGGATGAGTCATGATGTTTACAAATTGGCCAAAAAATATGATGGCATTTTAATGGCTCTTTTAGGATTCAAGCTTTGATTGAAAATGAAATGAAGAATGATCAGAAAACAGCTGTAATTCTTGAATATAGGCAAACGTAATAAATATCTAATTAGAGTAAAACTGGTAATGGTCATGGTTATCTTTATTTTAATTTGCTAATGATATTTCACATTTCAAAAATAAAAAAATTATTTTAAAGCTCAAAATATTTGGGTACTAAAGTGTTCTTTTTCTTCAGCTAAAGGAAGCAGTTTAACTCTGAAGAAATCGGTTGGAGAAGAGTATGCAAGTTAATTTACTTGCTCCAAAGTAAACATTTAGAACTGAAGCACAAACAGGTGTTTTCTGAGAACAGACATAAAAATGAAAGGCTCAAAAGTGGGAAATAAAAATGTATTTGAGGCTAATAATATATATTCTAAAGGTTATTTCTTCATTGATTCATGAATGGAAAACCTCTTATTGACACCTACAAG